TCATAAAAAAAATATTGATTTACAAATTCTAAGATCAATACACTTCCGCATTATATATTTGAAATTAATTTTCAAATATTGACACTTTGATCGAATCGATCGGACAATGCCGGGGGTTGAAGTTGGCCTCAAAATGGTTTTTGGCTTATAATATTTTAAGACTTATTTGAAAAATTAAAAATCAATTTGCAAATTATTGGAGCAGTTTTCGAATTTATTTGACAAAATTGAGTAGTGACAACCGAGTAGAGTAATATTACTATTTAGTAGCATGCTTGAAAATGTCTGTACCCGAATTAAAATGTCAGATAAAGTTAAAGAGGAATATATGTATTTTTTGTTTTATATTGTTCTTTCAAATATAGTTGTGCTATGTAAATTTTACATAATATTATGTATAAAGTCTCATTCGAAAAAGTAATGCTTAATTATAAATATACAATTTCACAACGTATAATGTGTTTTTTTTTTTAAGACGCGAGTAATTCATCTTCCTCACCTATAACCCTATTAGTTCTGCATTAATGTTCAAGCATATTATATAACTTATAAAATAAACCCACGTGCTTACATAACCACTTAAGTACCTATGTATGTATTATGATTTATTTTTAAATTTAAAACTTATTACACACTATTATTATGTATAGATGTCTGTTTAATATTACTAGAATATACTTTTGCTCTGTCCTAAATAATTAACTCAATCAACGATGACATGGCTGACGTTCTTGAATGCGTAGGTACATATATTGTACGGAATAGCGGTCCTCCACCAGGGTTACACGGAAAGGTTATAGGTGATAACTGATATTAAACTGATATGCGACTTATGGTGAAAATATTAGAATTATTTGTAAGTAGTATATTAAGATGATGACACTATGTCAGTACGCTATATTGTTATGTTTTCTTTCTCTCTCTCTGACCTAAGCACAACAGCAAAATTTTTGTTCAGCTGAACCAATCTTGTGTGTGGTTATAGAGTGAATATTGTCGCATATATAGCTCCTATAAAAGTACTGTCAAACTTAAAGTTATAAGAACCCAATAAGGTATTATACAGGGAACCTCATTGGCTTATAGTGATATTTTAATTTTATTGCGAGAAAATTTGAGAATTTAAAAATCTTACGCCTAATATTTTAAGTTTAATTAACTATGTGTTATGCTGATTTTTGCAAAACGAAATTTTCCCATGTCACAAAGTGGGTCAGAGTGAGAAATTAAAAAGTGTACCGAGTGCTGACATCCTCTTAAACATCAAATATCAACATATTAAGGAAATAAACATACGTGCTATAAACGTTCGCATCTTAATCGCGGAAATCCCCCCCCCCCCGGAAATTTTCCAACCAGCTGTTTTCGGTATAGTAGGACATTTCCCCTCTATATATTTTTGATGTGGGCATTTTTAAGTTTACTATTTAATATGATATTAATTTATGCATATTGTATAATATTTTCAAATATTTTCATAAATATAATAAAATATAAGCTATAGATGTATACTTTTGATCAACTGAACTACTTGAATCAAATTCACAAATGACAAGCAATTATTAAATTGTTAAATATTCAAACTGGTACAGTTTACACAAAAAAAAAAAACAAAATAAATTTGAAGAAATTATAAAAAATATAAGTTAAAATAACAAAAGAATCAGAATTAAAATGTTTTTTTACAAAATGTATCATTCTTATGTCGAAATTTTGAAACATTTTTAATTAATTATTAACTATATTTTACAATATTGTATATACCAATTTTTTTTTTATTTTTTTTTTTATTGTTTCAAGTAGGTAAGTAGTTCAGTTGATCAAAAATATACATTTATAATCTATTATATTTTATTTAAAAAAAAAAACTTCATATTAAATAATAAATAATATTATATTATTAAATTCAATATTATTAGTCAATAATTAACTTAAAAACAAAAAATGGGGGGGGGTTGCCCGCATCAAAAATATATAGAGCGGGGAATGTCCTACTAGACCAAAAACAGACGGGGGGGGGGGAATGTCCATTTATCAATCATCCGTATGGTTATGTAACGACGGCGTTCAACCCCAGATACAATATGTGAGTGAAACATTTAACTTTTGGAGAACAAATAGAGTATTGTCTCCTCGTGTCGTTCACTGGAATCCACCCTAAATGGTACTCAAATAGTCAAATATTACTATATACAATTCATATTATACTGCATAATATATTGCAGACTGTACCAAATATCTGAAATCATTAACGAGGAGGATTTGCTTTCGAGCGTTAGGTGAACATTTTACCAATAATTGCAGGACGAGAATCGTTAGGGCATCTCTTTTTTTTTTTTGTTTCCAACTCATTAGAGATGGCAACAATTTAAATCTTTTATAACGTCATAACATGGTTTTTCTTGTTCGTATTCAACACACAACATTTGAGTGCAGAAATGCTGCGTGCGAGACGCAATACGTTTTACGACGTTCACAAAATATAAATTATATTATACCTATTATTGTTGTACAACGAGAGACGTGGACACAAAAATATGTAATAAATCATCACAATTATTATTATAGTACCCACAACATTCTGTCGCAGGAATTAATCCTATTGGGTTTCATTGATGTGTGTCTTCTTTACTAGGAAAACGTATATAGTTTAGGCCTATAATGGGGGTCGTGTACGATTTTGGTTTGTAGCCATTGTAGTCGGGTTATCGAGTGCTAGTGGGGAACACGAATGAGAAAAATACATTAAACGATAATTAATCTCCGCTCGCTTCGGACGTTTTCATATTTGTTTTACTTGATATATTTATAATTAAGACACGCGTACATTAATCATAGCGTTAGGTTCAATAACGTTCCACGAATCATTACAAGTTTGATAATGGTCAAGAAAAATGCCCTATCGGTCATAGTGGAGGTACTAGCAGGCGAGCGTGTCTAAATATTATTTCATGAGAATCACCAAGGTCCGTGACATTACGAAAATTATTTCTATAGTGTGTCTAAAATATATTTTAAATTTTAAATGAAATCCGATTTAGTAGTCATTCGAACAATCGTCGAATTTAACCGGTAATCAATTATAATGGGGGGATGTATATTTATTTTATTTTTTACGTAATTGGAATGACGTACGTTTAGCCAGCCTCCTCCCCCCCCCCCCAAAGGAAAATCTATAAACAAACTATACAGATAATTAGCACGTAATTCGCACGAATTCGCACGACCTGCCTTCCCCTCGAAAAACAAAAAAATCTTGGGAGGGGCAGCAACACGTTTCGCCAGCCCCCCGGAGGTACATATTTACATTTTCGCAATTTTTCTTCTGCAGACATTTAACACGTAATTCGCACGAATTCGCACGGATAGTTTGAAAATTCGGACGACCTTCCTTCCTCTCCAAAAACAAAAAATTCATTTTTTGTCAAGATTTTTGTCGAGATTTTCTGGTGGAAAGAAGGTCGTGAGAATTCGTGCGAATAAAGTGCTAAATATCTGTGTAGTTTGTTTATAGATTTTCCTTTTGGGGGGGGGGGGGCTGCCGAAACGTACGTATTGGAATGATTATACTGTAATTATGAATTTTATTTTTACTCTTTATCTCTTTCGAACCAAATATTAGATTAAGTAAATAAGAGTGATATAGTCATAATGCCTAACAATGTTATTTGGATGGTCCTTATTTATCCTAGTTTATTTGATGTTAAACCAATTTAGTATAGGTGTCAAATTAATAAAATCAATTTTACTCGAACAATTACAATACATTTTTAGATTCTGTATTAATTTTATAATATACTGTTTCTAGTAGAAAACATACTTGATCATTAAATACGATTGAGGATTTTGTAGAAAATTAGATCTATTAGGTTATTTTGGTTGGTTATAATCGAAAATTCTCAGTACTTACTTACTTTTTAAAATAATCAGAGAAAAAAATATGGACATTTGTTAAAATACAAGATACATCTTAGTTAATTATCTTTGATTACATCTTAGTCAATAAGCTTAATATTTGAATACAAAGTTCCTGATAACCTGTTGTTACATAGCTACAGTGCTTGGAAGGAACGTCTTCAAAAGATTTCGTTCAATTTTCACTAACTTAACGTGAGCTTTGTTCCTTTTTTTGTGCGAAGGAACCTATTGGAAATTCGTTCATATTTTAGAGAAACATGAACGATTTTATTTGTTATTTTTTTCGTTAATTTATTCTTAAATATAGGGAATTAAAATGATTTGTAGAGTAAATGTTATTATAATATTTTTTAGGAATTTTACTCAATATATTATGAGCTATACATATAATTAAAGTTTAAACCTATATACGATAATAGTGACAATGTTTACAAAATGTCAAGTCAGTCACGGTGGTCTTATTGCAGGTACTTATTAAATTATATGAAACAAACAAATTAAATACTTTAAAAACTAAACAACTATACCTAATTAACCAATTTATTACAACAAATTAATTTAAAACTATTGAGAAGCAAAAAATATTTTTTATTTAGGAACGAAAAAATGAACCATGTAGTTCCTTTCTTTAAGCCAAAAACCAGACACGATTTAGTTTCTTTTCGCCAATAGATGAGTGTGAACGTGAACTTATTCCATTTTTAATCAAACTTTCTAAACACCGTATAGCTAACGTTCCAAGCATTGTATTGATAATATCAAAAATATGCAAAGGCTCGATATTTTATAAACATAAAACTGATAAAATTCTTCAAAATCACGAAAACGTGCAAACTATTTATTAAAATACGAGATTAAACGAACTGCATATTATTATTTTGTTTTGCAATTCAACGATACAGTTTTTTAAATTTATTTTGTTTTATTATTTTTTGTATTATTTCTATAAATATCTATACCTAAATACCTATAATATAATATTATAACATTACGTTTGTTTTTATTTTAGCCATACAATTATCATACCCGCCTACGATTTTTTAACGTTAGTGTTATTCATGTCATTATATTATGCTCTACAGATGAATCGTGTTATTTTGGCGTCGTTCCTCTTAGCCGGTTTGGCGAGGTGTTACGATTACAATGAAGTATTGCGGTTGTCACTCATGTTCTACGAAGCACAGAGGTCGGGTCACCTGCCCGTCAACAACCGCATCCCGTGGCGAGCTGACTCTGCGACCACAGACAAAGGGCAAAATGGCGAAGACCTATCCGGAGGATATTATGACGGTAAATTATTGCAACTACGGTATTTACCGCGTCTTTGGCTACAGAGCAAAATTAAAAAACAGTTCAAGCCTATAATATTATTATCAGCAGCTGAAAATCATCTTCGGTAGGAGGGTCTGATATTTTTTCGAAAACGAAAATTCAAACTATACTCGACATAATATTATAGTCACATTATATTATTCCCGGGAAATTGTTTATACTTTTTAATTCCATTTATAAGATCCCGAACTGCTCAGTTACAGTTGCAGCATTGGCGTATCACAGCTTCTCTTATAGGTCGTACCTATCATGGGTGAGGCTCACCTTTCCATCGAGTCAAACATCGAATAAACAAATTCGTATCCCGTTGTTAATATTATGTTAGTGCAGTTTCTCCCACGTTTTGCTTTCGTAGTAAATATTATAATATTGTATAGGTGCTGTTTAGCACTAGCATTTTAACGATCAAAATATGTTGGTGTATATAATATTATTATTATCATAAAGAACGCGAAATAACTCTATATTGTACTATAGTTGTTATAGAAATATGAAAATCATCTATTCCCATGAGAAATCTTTGACCAGGAAGAATGTCAAGGACTTGATCAGTAAAATATAATCGCTATAGGAGTATAAAACCATCAGAATGCACATTAATTATTGTTATTTATTTTTTTTTTTGCAATCGTGTTATTATATTCTTGCGTTATTATTTAGGATGTACACGACATCGTGTTGTTTACGGAGAAGACGTACGCTTTTTACACAATTCAATTATTATTTCATCAAAATGTTTTCAATTCAATGTTTTATCGACATAATAAATAATAATATACATTATGCACGAAGACCGCGATGGCGAATATCAACAACCATATACATTATACATATAACATTAATATAAACACATTTATTAATTATCAACACCATTTGGCACATATTATGATTGCTGGCAGTTTACACGGTAAAATTAAACGATGGTTTAGGCAGTGAAATATGCACGGATTTAGTACCTAACCATAATATTGTATGTTCAATTAAATTTTTTAATTTTACAACTCGGTACAATAATTGGTTTTCTGCAAACTCAATGATTAGGTCTAGGAAGCCTATCGGCTATGACTTATTGAATTTATTTATAATATAAGTATTCAAATAATATTGAGCGTTGAAGCTTTAACAATTGATAAAGGACAAAGAATTATTCACTTTAGCTAAAATATTGTACTTTTACTGTACATGTGAATTTAATAACAATTATATGTCAATTAGATAATTATATTTATAATTGAATATGATACACAATAATAATTAACAAGTATTTACTTTTATTTTGAGTATTGTCACTACTCGAAGATGATATTCAGCCAACAATAATAATATGATATGGGTACCTGTTACAGACATAATGTACAATAATAATAATGTACTGTTGCACATATTACTTCTTTTGCGAATTTATCGTTTTGCAAATTTATTGTATTCACGGACATGAGGCACATCGAATTATTTCACAATGCCTACATTATTGTGTATTGACTGTCCGTTATAGTGGCTATTGATTCTCTCCACGTGCTTTTATTGAATTTACTTGATGAATTATAATTTCATTAGAAGACACGTTCCACTATTCCATCATATTATCATAATGAACAATATGTCTATAGTATAGGTACATCAGTGCCGTAGACAGGAATTTTATATGGGGGGGTTTATTATAATAATAACATGCTGTTATAGTAAATTAAGAAAAAATAACACATTATTTATATTTTTATATCTTAATTTTATTTTTATATCTTTATTTTAGTGTCTTATAAGTTATAATATCAGATCTATTTTTCTTTTAGATTCTGAGTGAAACGATGAATGTATTGATTTTACAATGATGTGTGTTTTTTTTATTTTTTTGTTTTTTTTTGTGTCTGTCATCACGTTTTAGGACAGTAAAAGTGCTTGGATTTTCTTCAACAGTAGCTTTTCTGATAGGAAAGTGAATCTAGTTGGTACTTTGGGGGGTTGAAAGTAAAAATTTCCCAGTAGTTTTCACAAGCGCCGGGAAAAACAACATAAAAATTAAGGAAAAACTGGAATTTTTACGCAAAAATTTTTACGGTTTTCCAAAAAATCGATTTTGGTTTTTGGTGTAACTCTAAAAGAAATGAACGTATATACATGAAATTTTCACTGGTTGTTTATATTTGCATTTTATATACACGATAACATTTTCAAAATGTTTTAGATAGAAGGCTCCTAGTATATTGTTTCAAAGGCAGATGAAAAATATTAAAAATCGTTAGTCACAGTTTTTATTTATAAGCATTTAAAGTTCAAAAATTGACAAAAGATGGAAAAATCACTAAAATTAGCAAATTATTTTGAGTTAAGAATTTTTTCTTTTTAAATCTAAGATTTGAAAATGTAATACAAGATTCCTCATAAGACTATCTACATTCATCAAAAAAAAATGTCTATAAGAAAGTCAAATTAAATTTTTATGAGCGTTTGAAATTCAAATTTTTACAACATTGGATATTCACTCGATTTCTCATGTAGCGATTTCCTTATTTTGTTGTAATACAAAAACGAATAACTGTAGATACGTGAAAATTTCACTGAATGTTTATATTATCATTTCCTATACACCGTACAATTTTGAAAATATTTTGACTTTTTTTCAGCTGTTTGACTGATATTTCAAAGTCTAACATCTCAGCCAATCTCTATTTAAAAATATAATTATAGTTAAATAACGAACATTAAAATTGAATTTAAGGCATTCATTACTTGAGCATCTTTGATCATTTTTTTAAATTCATGATCTACATTTTCCCTTAAATTGTCAAGAACCTTGATACTGATATTGGCCAAACTGATCATTTCTCTCAAATCTATGTTTTTTTTTAGCACGGTTTTAACTTTTAAAGTTTTAACTATAATACTGATAATACCTAATTAATATGTTATCATAAATTTCAGTATTATCAACATGAACATATAATAAGATTATCAATTATCACAGTAACAAAACGGTTATGGTAATGGTGATTTGTCATTGCGACCATTAGACGATACACAAAATACCTTACTTATAACCAATAACAACACAAACATCTAAAATATTACTAAAGCTCGCTTTGCGAGCGTGCTGAATTCCCGATTTCTAAACGTATTTTAACACAACTCAATAAATTATAATTCCATAATATACAATTTATTATGTACATTAACTACGGATAATAAATGAATAAAAATCAGTAATATATATTATAAAAATCGTAACCAAGTACTTACTGGCAATAAATAAATAAAAAAATCAACAATTGATATCAACAATCGTAACTATATGTACTCTGCAAGTAACTAACGGACGGACACAACACATATAAGGTGTTCTAAACATATATTTAGAAAACTAAAAGTAATATTGATAAGAGAAAAATTATTACATTTCTAGTTAGTCGGATTTGTTTGATATTTCTCATATATTATATAGGTATTATGTACAGTGTACAATGTACATACATAATATAATTTGAATAAATAAATACAATATATAATAAAATCAGTGGAGTAGCCTCCCTGGCTGAATCTACGAATTTTCAGGGAAATCTAAAAATGATTTCAGTGTACTGTGATCGTATTAAGCAAGACGTTGACCTGCATGCATTCAAATTGCTATTGGAATGAAGGTTGCTGAAAAATTCTAAAACGTTATACACACACGGCATCATGGCTTACTTGTCATACTTATGAATTTAAGTTAAGTTGGTTAAGCCTCCCCTGTGGCTTATATAACAAACTATCAACCCCCTCCCCCCTCCCCCAAGCAAAAATCCCGGTTTCTTCGCTTATGTATAATAATATATTAATATTATAATACAAAATAAAAATAAATAAATAAATGTCATTGTGAAATTAATGTTTTGGCCGTTTATTATAAAATGTTGTTGCCCCGCAATTCGATTTCATGTTATTTATCATAGGATTGTCTAAACAGTTTAAATTCGATAAATTACCATTTGACTTTCTCGTGTTATTGAGTAAAGCTGACTATTTTCCACGTAATAATGGATCGTCAACAACAAACCAGAACTGAGACTTCAGGTTCGTACGACAAGGCTGCTGAAGAAGGATAAAATGATATACATTCAGATTACAACACGTCATAACCTTGATAAATAACACAATATATAACAAACAAATGATAATACGGGGGACGGAGTGGCCGAGCGGATTAAGGCGTCGGTACGAACCCGGCCGCGGGTGGCATTTTTCTTCTGGCAAGTCATGGTGTCCGGAGAAGAAGTAGCTCCGTCTCCCGCCCGGGCATGGTAGATACCTACGGGTGCCCATTAAAAAATCTGCCAAACACACAAGTGTTCACACAAAACCACAGTTCCATCCCCTACAGTTCCACAGGCTAATAACCTCAGTAGTTGAAGCCTCAACCTCAACCTCAAAAAAAAAAAATAATAAACTGATAATACGAAGGACGCACATAGGGGAAGAACACAGGATAAATATGATAAACGAAGATTTTCTTTCAGTTAAAACTAATTTCTCGTCGTCTGTAAGAGGCCAGGCTAGCTCATAGCTATTTCTCGGACGGTACTAGTGTGCTGCATCAGCAACATAACATTCTACCGACTTCAACGATTCTTCTTCCTAAAGCCGATAGGATCGGCCTACGTCTTCGAACAGCAGTTGCTTCTGGCTGGTCAACGTTAACATTTTCATCCATCGGTTTGCCGTGGACAAATCACTGCAGGTTGGATTTCCGCCGTTACAATATCTGCAGTCTGCACACAGTCCGTGGACTGCAGCTGATGTAAGTCCGGTCGATTTTCTACAGTGATCGACTGCCGGAAACCGGTCACACTACCATCCGTTATCGCAACGTTTCCTAAAGGCCTTTTTCCGATTAAGTCTATGGTGATACGTCGAGGGAAATGCACAGCTATATGACGTAGTTCAGTGATCTGCTCACGGTCGCCGCACGTAGAGCTTTTGCCAGTACTTCTGACAACCCGAGTGTTGCAGCAAACTTCGCTCTATGATTACGTGTCTTTGCTACTTGTAGCTGCAGAACTGGTTGTCTTTTTGGCTTTACAATATCAGTCTGAACTCTGAACACAGTCCATAGATAGAGCTGTTGTAGTCCTTCAGCGTCTCCAACACTCAACTTCCTGTCTGTCTTATTAGATTCAGTCACGTTCATTTGTCTTGGTACCACGTTCGAATTTCTGCCCATAGCCGCAGACTGTACAGTATTAGCCACCATTCCTAGAAATTAGAACTGGTCCATCGTTAACTTGAAGACATTTTGTGATTCTTCATCAACCTCAATAATGTTTTTCCAAATGTCCAGTAAAAAGTTTAGAATGAAAACAAGCAATATTGTGGTCATTATTTTTGACTTGAAAACCTTAGTTATAAAATTGAACATTTTAACCACAAAATAATTGTCAAAATTCATTATTTTGACAGATGTTTTAAAAGCTATCTTATGACGAAAATTATATTATAATAACAAATTACATTCAATTATTTGTATACAATGTATAATTTGATAAAGAATGTCTATAATCTTAAACATAATTACTATTCAGCTTAGTTTTTATTTATAAAATGGGCAGACAAATCATTAGATTCTAAATTATATAAATCAACATTCTGTTTAGAACTTAACACAGGCTGAACTTACATAGATTGATATACCTAGCTGTCTTAGCTATTATATTCTTATATCTATAATAAATTATTTATAAGTATGTATTTTTGTGATACGAATAAAGTCTTAATATTATAATTTATAAACGATAATTATTGTCAATCAAATAAACAATTAATAGACGACGATTAATCGAATACATAGATATTCAATTAGGTGCGAATTGCACACTATTTTTTACTACCCACCTAGGATGGTGAAAATCACTTACCCTTATTTTGGTGCAAATTAGTAATTACAAACCATCAAAAATGTATATAAATGCAAATATGTAGTGTATACAGCTGCTACAGCATTTTTTATTCTGTACTCAAGTTATGGCTACAACTCATTTGCGCACATTTACCTTTTTTACAACTCATTTGCGCACAAAAACATAACTCATTTGCGCACAATTTACGAACAATAGAAACCTTTTTTCCAAGAATTTTATCCACGTATAGGGTGTACATAATCTCCGTACCACCATATTTTCGATTTGGTCAATACTGATAGTGGACAATTATTATACTCAAACAACATTTTCCTTCACCCTTTAAAAGGCTTAGGACTTTCTGTCTCATCATATTCTGATGTTGTAGACTGGCGGGTTTAAAAATTTTGTTTTAGCTATTACACATTATTCAAAATTTTGTCAAATTACAATAAATTAGGTACAATCATTAATAATAAATTAATCATAATAAAGATTAAAGCTTGTCCCACACGACTAGTGTACTTGGCGAGTATTAATGCCATTTTTGATAGATAAGAACTGATGTGAAATCACGTTATGCTTTAAGACTATATAAGGCTATATTGAAGATACTCCAATAACGGGTGATCATTGATGATTGATATCAATAATATTGAACGTGTAACGTGTTGGACAGCTTAAGACACCCTGTACACCCAAAACTGTACCTAAAAGCTGGTTTTCATTGTTTACTATTTTGTGCGCAAATGAGTTGTCGTGAATTTAAAAAATTTATTAATATGGGCGCAAATGAGTCTCCACCCAAGTTATAATATTGGTAGGTGCAATGTTCATATTTTATGTAATATTACCTTTATAATACCTTTTGTGGTTCTAGGTCACTATTTGTACGGTTGAGAATTAAAAGTGTAAAATGCGAACACTTAGTACTATTATATACATAAAGCCTATTATATTGTAAATATAAGTTATATACCTAAGTAGTAAATATATAGTGTCAATTATTAAAATGTAAAATTAAATAAATAGTCAATTAAAAATGTTTTAAAATATAGTATAATATTAACAATAGTCATAATAATCAAAGTTTTTTTAATTAACTGGTTAGATAACAGCCAAATATTACTTGGTGCTATAATATATTTATAAATAAATTTAGGAACTCGATGACCTAAAAATCTCTAAATTGTCGAAATAATCAAATAAAGTTGTATAATTGTATTATTATCAAAAGTTATGTTAAAGAGTAAATTAAAAATGAGTACAATATAAATATGTCAAAATGACAAATACAAATTACTATCGATAGGTAATAACCCACGATTCGCTTCTATTTCGAATGTATGAGATACTTAGATTTGTCTAATAATATTTAAAACTTAATAGCATGGTCTGAGTGGTCTGACTACGACTTCATGCTTGTTTACATTAAATATACATATTATACTTTATGTATATATTTGTACAAAGTGTCCGCGTTATGCATTTTAAACAATGCACATTACAAAGTGACCGTTTGTGACCAATTGTGTATATTCGTTTGTACCTTCTAGTTTTTAACTGCATAATTATCTAAATATAATATAGTATGATTCGATGTTAATATTTTATTATTGTATTTTTACTATAGTATAATTATCCACAATTATACAGAAAAAAAAATATTTTAAAAATAATGTTTAAAAGTTATTACATTTGTCAGTTTTTTTCTAATAGACGGTTTATATGGAATGATTTCCGTTCGTTTTAGTTCGGTACCAATGGTTCTAAGTCCTATAATAATAGTCAGAAAAGATATATTTTTTACATTTTTTTTTAAAGTATGGTGTTACTATACTATTTCAAAATAGTTTCAGCTCGTCACCGACAATTAATTAAATACAGTTAAACAAACTATGCACATTACAAATACACGTTCACGTTATAAGAAGCCATATATATATATAATATTGATATTAATTATCCATCCAATCAAATAATAAATATGTTGAATTCAGCGAAAAAATTATATCCATTGGGACGCGAAGAGCCTAGCAAATATCCAATATTTAAATATCATATTTTAAGTGTTTATTTACATATTAAGTGTAAGGGAAATAGTATTGGGTAAAATAGTCTTAATATAACATTGTTTAATTTTAGGTAAATCAATAATATTTCATATGTTGCATATGACAGCAAATGTACACGTCCTATTCCGTTTATTATAATTTATAACGATTAACAATTAGAATAATAATGGTCTTAGATATTGTTAACTTAAAATAATAATGTTAAATAAAGGTAGTACTGATTAATCAATTAATTGGATTTAGTATTATTTGTAAACAGCATATCTTTATTGGGAAGATATGTTCATCGACACAGATTATAACAATTATTGTTTCGTAATTTATTATATTTTATTTATAGGATGAACGAAAATTATAATACTATTATTATTTTAGCTGGCGATTTTGTAAAATTTGGCTTCACGATGGCAAGCACTACGACCATTTTGGCATGGGGATACTTGAGTTATAAAGACGCGTACGAGGAAGTTAGTAAGTATAATATGTTTTCGTGCTCCTACATAATACATTATCTATAATACCTATATTTGTGCACAAACTATATGGGACCTACCATTGAGTATATTATTCAGAAATTGTACGTGTCCAATAACAATACATCGATATTAACAATAATTATTATAATTTGAAACGCAAGAACCAAAATAATTTCTAAAAACCTCATCATTAACCGTTATTTTATTTCGCATGATTTAATATAGACGAATGGGAAAACGCATTGGGCTCGATACGCTGGGCCGCGGAGTACTTTATCAAGTGTCACGTGAGCGACTACGAGTTTTACGGACAGGTGGGTGACTTCAGTCTGGACCAAGGTTTCTGGGGTCGGCCCGAGGACATGAACATGTCTAGGCCGTCGTACAAAATCGACAAAAATCGACCAGGTAAATTATTACAGACACCGATCGCAGTGATGAACACCAAGCGGTTTCTCGTGCTGCGTTCATATATTGATCTTATACCATAATAATATGTCACAATAATGTCATCATGACATGTATACCAAGGGGTCACCAATTAATACTTTTAAAGGACCACACTAGGAATCTGCAAATTGTTCGCAGTCGATCGTGGCTGACGTCGTCGGTAAAAACCGACGAAGAAAAATTATAAATTACAACACTATGTTGTGTAGAACGTAGACAAAATAATATTATCGACTTCGATTATTTTTTTCTCGTCTGCGGGCCGTGCGAAATTTGCAGTCCGCGGGCCACCGTTTTCCATTCTTTATACTTGTTGCCTGATATATCCAATTATATGTGATTTACCCAGGTTCCGATTTGGCCGGTGAGACGTCCGCCGCTCTCTCCGCCGTGTCGATAGTGTTCACCAAAATCGATTCCAATTTTTCGGCCAGTTGCTTGAGTCACGCCAAGCAACTGTACATGTTCGCCACCCAGTACAGAGGGTTGTACCACGATGCCATCAAAGGAGCGGCGCAATATTACGAGTAAATAATTTATCATAATAGAATAACGCGCCGTTCTCCGCGGTTTATTTAATCGATCGGATGTGGCCCGTCGTGTGTGATCCAACAACAACAACTCAAACGTGAAATTCGTTTTTTTTGTTTACTTAGATCGACAGATTACGGTGACGAATTGACGTGGGCCGCGGCTTGGCTGTACAAAGCCACAAAGGAGTCACAGTATTTGGACGACGCCGAGTACATGTACATGAAGTACAGACTTAAAGAACGGCCAAACGAATTTTACTACAACAAAAAAGTCGCCGGCGTACAGGTGCGAAATCAATGATGCGGATGTATAATAATAACATTTTTTTTAGTATTGTTGTATATACGACACGAGTTTTTCACGCCACACATTGATGATCGATACGTTTTAAGATCGTAATACATTTTAAGGGAGAAAAAGAAACAATGACCGTTGGTCCTGTATCCACGGTATCCCCGGTAGATGATGCTAGGTTTGGATTTTGTGGGGCTAAGTGGCCGTTCGAATATTTTCATAGCTCCCCTAAAATATTATAAAATTAATATTTAATTAATAATATTATGGACTTTATTTCAAAAATGTTTTCTTCAATATGGCAAAACAATGTCCGAGAACGAGTTTTGTGTGTATGCTGTGAGACTGTTTCTTAAATTTGGGCATTCACAATATTGAAAGAGATTTCTTCATACCAATAAAATTAAAGAATACGATAATAAAGCTAAAAACATATTTAAATTCGTTATATGAAGTTAACTTCAGTTCAATCATACCAATTGTTGATTTTAATTTTTATTCGATTACGTGATATTATAATCAACGTTTAAAAAATGTTTAACTGTTTCATTATAAAATCAAATTTAAGGGAACGACAAGAATCGAAATTCCAAACAGTGATCGAGTATGATCGATCTAAAGAAACTGATGCTGACCGTATCTAATCCCCGCTGTAACACATAAATAATAAAAATAATATTGTTTATAATACGTCTTAAGTATCGATAACTGATAAAGTCAAGCTCTGTAAAATGCATTCCAGGCCCTTCTTGCCGAACTAACTAATCAATCTGAGTATACCGAAGCAATTCAAAATTTCTGCGACTACAATTTGTACGTTCAAAAGAAAACACCAAAAGGATTGTTGTACATCGAAAAATCCGGTACACTGTGTCACGCAGCGAACATTGTGTTCTTGTGCTTGCAGGTATATAGACGCCACTTCTTTGGCGGTGGTTACTCGTGTGTGGAAAAAAATTCCATCCCGCTATACTTATAGGTATACAGTATTTATAATTTTTTTTTTGCATTTTGTAGGCTGCTGATATTGGTATAATGTCAACGCAATACCGAACATTTGCCAAAGATCAGATAGATTACATACTGGGAGACGGAGGACAGAGCTACGTAGTAGGATTCGGTAAAAACTACCCATTACAACCACATCACGCTGCGAGGTAATAAAATAATAATGATAATAATATATAAGTAATTTTTGGGGAACACATCAAAAAATGAAGTATATGTATACATATTGTATTAATATTACTTACCAGTTTACCACTCGTAACTCGTGACAGTTATATATTATTATATTACTTGCTGATCCCGCGCACTTCGTTGCCCGTAAAGAATGACAACTCTTAAAAAAAAAATGCGATTGTTCAACTCCTTTTGGGTGTAACTCTCTCGGCAGTGAGTGTAACTCGGCCATCTTGGAAGGCAATGTGCGAAAATTCGATTTGATACGTGCTTGTACCTGTGATCTGATCGATTAGCCAATGGCAACCAATAAAATGATAAATACTAATTACTTCTCTTATAAGTTATAACCAATAGCAACCAATTATAAACAAAAATTTCCATCGTATACTTCAAAATGAATTCCTGTTTGAGCACCTCCCCGAGTTGGACCTACCGGTTTAATTGTGAATATAAATCATCCCGAGAACCAATCAAACACACACAACAAATGTCATCAAAATCGGTTCAGCCGCTTAATGTCAGACATACAGACAAAACATTAATTTATATTAATATATATGAACAGATAATTTTTTTGGAATATTGTTTTGGGTTTAACCTAAATTAGAAAACAAATAGGTATATGAAGTTAGTGTTTTATTTGTCGAGGTTTGATATAGAAATGTATATTTTAAGTGTGTTATAAATTATAATACATAGTATAATAAAACAACAAGACACTATTGCGCCTTAAAATTGGACAAATATCAATTTCTACAGTTGTATGTATGTACAGTTGCTATTGCTCGGGCTATTAATTTTCGTTAAATTATTTTTGTTCAAACCATCGAGAAATAAAGTCGAAAGCGTTTGAACGAGTTTCGATAACACTTAAATTACTCTTTGAATACCTATAGAAGAAGAAAAAAAAATTTATAAATGGTATTTAGTCGTCATCAATTTTAATATGTGTAGATATATAAGCTGTAAACTAAATTATAAACTAAAAAAGTCGTCTTTAGTCTGAAAGAGCCTAATGCGAGCATATCTATTTACCCATATTATATGTCAACAGAGGCGTACGCAAGTGTAGGGTTCTAGGGTTCTACCCCCCTTTAAATAACTTCTTTCTACAAAAAAAATTATTTACCACCAAAATCAATAGTAGATTAACTGTAAGTCATTTTTAATTTTTATAAAATCGAGAATCATAGTTGAAGTTTTTTTTTGCTGTTCTAAGAACATTGCTAAGCTTCTGCCCTAATCGCTATATCAATTATTCCATAATATTTATATCGGCCTGATGAGGTTCTAACAATGTACTCTAATATTCTATGGTCCACAGATGACCAGGTTAAATACACTCTAAATTTAGGCTAAATTTGAAACTTAAACTCCATTATTTGTTTTAGCCAATTATATAAAAAGCGGTGTTATGTAAATGTGGAACCCCAACCTAACTACAATCCTGCTTACGCTACTGCATGTCCATAATAATATTATTATCGTCGGTTCACAGCTCCTGTCTGGACCGCCCGGCTCCTTGCGACTGGGAAGCGTACCGGAGCCCCAAGCCCAATCCACAGGTGCTGTACGGCGCGCTGGTCAGCGGACCCGACGAGAACGACAACTATAAGGACCTGCGGGAGGAGTACATCTACAACGAGGTGACTTTGGACTACAACGCCGGCTTCCAGTCGGCCGTCGCCGGGCTCAAGCACCTGGAACTCCGGGCCAGCCGGCAAAAGGCCATGATGGACGCCAACGGTCTGCAGCTGTCGTCCAACGCGACGGACGCGTAATCGTCGTGTCCCGGACCGCCGACCGCGCCGGAAAACTCCACCGCATTTCACTTCTGTTCCATAAAATTAAAATAAAAAAAAATATACGTGTTTTCTTTGACCCGAAGACGACGAGACCCCCCCCCCTCCCCGGACCGCGATCGAAAGACATCTGCACCGCCACATTGCACCGGCTCATTGCGTTCATCGCGATGATATTATATTCGAAATATTGTCATTAGGTACCATTTACCTACAGTCATTGATTATGCCAAGTCGCTTAATGTACGCACGTGGTCATAACACGCATGTGGGGGGAGGGGGGCGAAAACGGATTTTGATTTCGCGATCTCTCTTTTTCGAGGCCTATAACCGGTTGAATGTGTGTGTTGAAAGGGGGAAAGGGTGTCGATGTTCGTCCGATCGATTTTCGCCGTACCATACTTTTTACTACAATAATATAATATTATTATTATTATTATAACATCTCATAAAATCGAATCGTGGTAAAAAAAAGTTCGGGTAAAAAAGTCCTAGGCATAAAAAGTACGGAGTAGTAAAGTCCTAGGAAAAAAAGTCTGGTATATATATTATACAACAATATTTAAAATAATTTATTTTAAAAAAAAGTTCAATGTTTATAATTATTACTTAGTACCTATCAATATTCATTACCTGTATATTGTAAAAAATCGAAATTATTTTTCATACAAAAAATGAAAAAATATACATAATAATATATTTTAATGATTTCTCAGTTCAATTAACTATCGTCATATAAAAATAATATATTTAAAAAAAAATTACGGTTAGTTACAACTTATATTACTAATTGGAACTAATGTTTGTGCATCACATCGTATTTTTCCTTTTACCTAATTATATGTCTTTTTCACCACGAACTTTTTATGCTTCAGACTTTTTTACCGTTGAATTTGTATGCCACAAACTTTTTTACTCGGACTTTTTGGAAGTCTACCCATACAATATTAGGGATATTATTTCGAATTTAAATGTTGACGATCTCGAATATTCGAACTTTGTTTTTGTAACAAACTGTTCTTGATCAAACTCGAACTTTTTGAACATTTTTAACTTTCAACCGTTAATCAGACAACAATATAATATGATTATAAAATCGGGAAATCTGACAAGGATTATACGGTAAACAAAAGTATAATATTCTGGGGTAATGATATTTTTTAAAATATAAATTATATTCATAATAGTAGTTACTGATGTGGAATTTGATATTCCTCGAAGTGTTTGAAATGTTCGAGTTTGAAGTAAATATTACATTTCAAAAATTAATTTCCAACAAAATTCGAACTGTTCTCGAAGTTCTCGAAGTTCAGCTGAGTGTTTGGAAGTTCGATATGCGTTCACGACCTATCCCCAGTTATAATATTATTATTGTTTTCGCAGGCGACGACGGTATCGGTCCTGGAAGGCCAACAATTTGATTTCGTCAAAGGTCTAATGCGGTTTGTACGTTTGTAGATCTATGGTTGTGTATACTAAAAAATAGGTACTAAAAATAGGTATTATAATAATATTATAACCTCAGAGTATAATATATGTACCACAATGTATGGGACGCAGTGGCGGCGTGATAGGGTGTTTCATGAGGCAATTGCCTCACGACCAATTAGGTGGTGGTACCCCCCCCCCCCCCCCCCGGTACGGATATTAAAAACCACATATGAAATATGGTCAAGGGGACGAAGTGGCCGAGTGGTCTAAGGCGTCGGTCGCGACGCAGCCGGTGCCAGCTCGATTCCTTGGTCGCGGGCGGCAATTTTCTTTGGGCAAGTCACGGAGAATAAGTGCCGCCATCTCCAACCCGGGCATGACAAATACCTACGGGTGCCCCAAATAAAAAATTCTGCCAAAACAAACAGACACGTGTAACAAATATACAGTACCCTCCCCTACAGTACCACAGGCTAATGACCTAAGTTGTCGAAGCCTTAACCCTAATAAAAAAAAATAAAAAATGAATAAATAAATAAATATGGTCAACTAATGTCTAATACTATTAATTATACTAATTTTATAATAATTTTATTATATTTCTGATATTAACACAACAAAGTATATTATCGTTGTAGAATTGTGAATTGGGGGTGTGGGGGCAAAGCCCCCACGGGTCTGTGTGATAAAATTTAGGTGGTGGTGGTCCAGCATTTATACTTGCCTCATAAAATAAAATAGTTCACGCCGCCACTGAATTGGGACGCATCGCCGGCGCCAAAGTTTCTGGAATTTCGGTGTGTTTTTGCGATAGGTATCGATGACCCTGGGATTACATGCGTACAAGCGGGAGGGGGGGAGCAGGGTATAATATAATATTTTGGCTGATACACTGAGGCACTGAGGTGGATATTACGTTTCTCATTAACGATTTCGGGGAAACTTAGGTACCATCCGGACTCGAGGTTTCGATCGTATTATTCCGACACGATTTTGTTCGTCCCAACTTAATGATATTACATTACTATAATATTATTATGATCCAAGTCTTCGGTGATTTCAAAACATGTCAGATCATTTTTGTTTTGTGTTATTTATTTATGTTTTGTAGTAAAAATTTAGACAATTGCGAAATATATTATATTATATATTATTGTATTTGATTTAAACTTGACTTGTTTGTTTCTGTGCGTTACACGTACGCACCTACACTGAAGTTATTGCGTGAATTGCAATATTACCTTACACATTTGGTTATGAAAAGTGATCCAACCTAACCTAACCAGTCCTCCGCCATCAATAATATTATGATACCACACGAAATCTTTAAATACCGTACACCCTAGGTATGTTGCCTGGTATCCGGATTTCGGAGGTGTCGGCCAGTTAGATATGGTTCACTTTGTAGAAAGCGTTTAGTTTGTTACCAAAAGAAAACTTCCACCGTTTGAAAACGTCTATCATTTAAATGTGTCCGTTATAGCCTGTATGAGGTGGGATTTCACTGTAAATTGTAATATAAGAATTTTCCTAGTCACAATCCAAAACAAAAAAGTATTTATTTTTTAGAAGTTAATTTTATTATAGACATTGTATGGTTGCCTCTGGGTGGGAAATTCCTAATTACGGCGGCCGAGTAGCATATATTATGCACAACAATATCCAGGACCGTCATTTCAGTTTGTAAATAGCTAGTTAACGTATTTATTGCAGGCCAATTTAAAAAGTATCGCTGAACGGCTGAGCTATGGTACCGTACAGTGGCGCCGCAATGGCGCGTGATGTAGCAGGACGTAGGAAGAATTAATAATAAATTATGTATGTTTCAGGCATTTGTGCTCGGCTCACCTGTTGCGTGACTAATTATTATTAGAACAATTATCAAGCTCAACGCTTGTGTGTGGTATATAATTTACGATTTATCTCTTGCAATTCAGTGTGATTTGCAGGGCTCATATTTCTGCCGGACAAATAATTTATTAATAAAGTCCCCCCCTCCCTACGGGAAAATTGTCTTTATTATAAGTACTGTAGTAATAATATTTTAAAATGCCAATAATCTTCTAACATTATATTATAATGTAATGTAGGCCAAACATGTAAATAAAAAAAGAGATAAAAACGTATACACCAGTATTCCTCCAAATGACGCCCTTGATTTTCATAATATTCATAATGGTGTATAATATAGAGGCTCAGTGCTTAGTTGGACGTAATTTCCCAGGTCATTATTTTTGACTTAACAGTTGCGGACGTGGAATAAAAAATAATTGCCAATTAAACTTTGAGCATACTGATTGCGGACTCGAAGTCAATATAATATTATTATTATGCTGTAATATCGTTTGTGTTATTAGCTGATGTGTGTTAGATATCAATAATTACCCGAGTGGTAAAAATGTGAAATTATCATATTAAATTTATTCAGGCTTTTTATCAATAATTTCTGCCACAGACTTTTATTTACTACCTTTTATTTGAAATATGATAGAGTTTTTTCATTAATTATCAATTTCTTATCCCTACTGTGAGAAATACGACTTTTTTTTGCAAGACGATGATAATTTTTACCATGCGTAACAATATTTAGTACAATCGTTTAAGTACCTACTGAGATTCTGATCAGTAGCGGATCTGAAGCTCATTTAAGGAGGGGGCGAATTGGTGTCATAGAATTTAAATATATACATATTAGTCAATAAAAAATCTATTATGTATAAAAAAAAATTAAACCGTATAAAAATTCAACAGTCTTTTATTCAATATTAAATAAACAAATGTATTGATAATTTATTTGAGCTACAATTATTGTATGGTTCTTTTTTTACCAGCCCCAAATCTGTCAATGAACAATGAAAATAAAATATTCAGCACTCAATATTAAAATTGAGTTATTTACTACAGTCACAGTGAACAAAATATTTAATTTAGGTATTTTATAAAAATGAAGTGATAACAGATTTTATGATAGGGAAAAAAGTCTTGTGGGTAAAAAGTCTGTTTTCTAAAGATAATATCTAATAATTATGTAATCATATAATAGGTAACCACTAAATACAAAACAGAAAATAACATTACATAACATAATTATAAAAATCCTAGTTCTATATAAATTGTTATCGTTGTAACTTTTAAAAATTATTTTAATAGTTTTATGAACTTTTTTTGCCCTTAGACTATTTTTCCTTGAGGCTTTTTTTTCGTTCCCCAACAGATTTATGCGGCGGTGCAGCATGCTGCAGCACTGCTTGGTGGTAAAATGATTTTATCTGTCATTCTATCTATAATCTAAAACTTAAACCGTAGTTGTATACAGCAATTTTGGTTATAACCAAGAAAATATTCTTTTATTATCCATGGTTATAAGTGTTTTAACCAATTTTAAATTTGTTTTGAACATAATCATGTTGTTTAAATTCTATAATTTGTATTGATAATCAAATAACCATATAATTGATAAGATATTAAAAAAAAAATACCTTTTTTGTACCATTTATTAAGTTATAGTTATGACTTATGAATTTCATATTCATTATATCATACGGCGC